CAGCAAGACCCATACACCTCAGGTTCCATACCCTCGCATCTGGGAATCGTTGCTGCTGCTGCTGCTGCTGTTGCTGTTGCTGCTGCTGCTGCTGCTGCTGCTGCAGGTGCAGGTTGTGTGGGTTTGCGGTGGTTGCTGCAGCAGCAGCAGCAGCAGTCGTCTGATCGTTCCCGCTGCCGTTGATGCTGCTACTGCTGCTGCCACTGTAACTGCTGCTGCTGCTGCTGCTGCTGCTGCTGCGTGTACAGAGTACGTGGGCCCCCGCCCTGCTCCACGCAANCTGCTGCTGCTGCTGCTGCTGCTGCTGCTGCGTGTACAGAGTACGTGGGCCCCCGCCCTGCTCCACGCAACAGCAGCAAGGGGGGCCCCCCCAACCCCATCTGCTGTTTTAAGGAGACGGAGAGAGGGGCCCCCCCAAAAGCGCAGCAGTCCGTCTGCTGCTGCTGTAGCAACAGCACTACCATCAGGTGCAGCAGCAACAGCAGCAGCAGCAGCAGCATGCGCATGCACCTCAGCGCATGCACCCCGTGGCTGTCTCAGGTCCCATAGCCTAAGAAAACCATCCGAACCAGTGGTCCAGCATAAGCGAGAAGCAGCAGCAGAGTCTGCTGCTGCTGCTGCTGCAGCAACAGCAGCAACACCTAATACACCCCCTGCATGCGCATGCTTATAAGCAGCAACAAACAAACCACAAGGAGACAGCAGCGAAGCCCTATAGGGTGCAGCACGAAGCGGCAGCAGCAGCAGCGAGCCGTCTATACACCCCAACCATATATAAGCTCCGCTGCAGTGCCACGCTATTGCTGCTGCTGCTGCTGGCAGCAGCAGCGGCTGCTGCAGCAGCAACGTTCCCGTCTCTATATCCCATACAGATAAACCCCCAGCAGCAGTGCATGCAGCTAGCATGCTGCCGCAAGGAGAGAAAGCGAGCCGCAGCACAGCCTCTCCCCCTGCTGCTGCTGCTGCTGCTGCTGCTGCTGCTGGTGCTGCTGCTGCTGCTGCTGATGATGATGATGNCCCCCTGCTGCTGCTGCTGCTGCTGCTGCTGCTGCTGGTGCTGCTGCTGCTGCTGCTGATGATGATGATGGTGATGGCGGTGGCGGTGTTCTCCCTCCTGCTGCTGCTGCTGCTGCTGCTGCTGCTTGCTGCTGCAGTGACACCGCAGCACCCAGCCGCAGCACCGGCAGCCACCGACGGCCCCCCTGGGGAGGAAGGAAGAGGGGGCTGCTGCTGCAGCGCTCGTAACACAGAGACCAGTCCATCACCAAACCCTAAACCCTAAACCCTAAACCCTAAACCCTAGACACTAAACCCTGGGCTCTAAACCCTAATTTATAAGCCCTTATTTGTAAACTCTGTTTCACAAACCCTCATTCATAAACCCTCATTCGTAAACCCTAACCCAAAAACCCTAAACCCTAAACCCTAAACCCTAAACCCTAATTCACAAACCCTAATTGATAAAACCCTAAACCCCAGGATTGCAGATATATCTCTTATAAGACAGAAACCCCAAAATAAAGATAAAGGCCTTTCCTCGTGAGCATTTCAGCCCAATCGAAGATCTAGGGTTTAGGGTTTAGGGTTTAGGGTTTAGGGTTTAGGGTTTGCTGGGTAGATTTAGGGTTTAGGGTTTAGGGTTTGGAAGCGATCAGCCCCGTGGTGCAGCTGCAACATCTCTCGCTGTTGTATAAACCCTAATAAAATATTTTTTAGTGAGAGGGGCCCCCGGGGGCCCCCCCGCAAGCATTGCGAGTTATGGGGGCCCCCCGTCTGGGGGCCCCCCACCTGGGGGCCCCCTGAGGGTTTAGGGTTTAGGGTTTAGGGTTTATATAAGAAAACAGTAATCTCTTTCTTTCTCTTCGCTTTACTTCTGCGGACTGGAGGCCCCTATACACACTAAAAATAAAAAAAAAATCAGGGGGGCCCCTGGGGGGCCCCTGGGGGCCCCCCAGGATCCTTACAGGAGCCTGGGGGGCCCCCAACCCTCTCCTATACGGTGGGGGGCCCCCGAGGACTGCAGCAGCAGCGACATTGCCTGAGCGCTGCTGCACCCTAAACCCTAAACCCTAAACCCTAAACCCTTAGACCTCGTACTAAACCCTAAACCTCAACGCTACCCTTAAACCCTAACACTAACTAAACATTCAGCCTCAATACTAAACCCTAAACCCTAACCCTAAACCCTAATCACTACTCCCTAAACCCTGAAACTCGAGTACTGGGCCGTCGCGCGCTGCTGCCCCACCTGCTGCTGTTGCTGCTGCTGCTGTTGCTGCTGCTGCTGTTGCTGCCACTGCCGTTACTGCTGACACTGTTGCTGTTACAGCTGCTGTTGCTGCTGCTGTTGCTGCTGTTGCTGCTGCTGTTGCTGCTGTTGCTGTTGCTGCTGCTGCTGCTGGGCTAAGCAGATGCTCTTACAACGCTAAGGACCCCCAGGAGCATCAGAGGGGGGCCCCTGGGGGCCCCTCGGGGGGCCCTTGGGGGCCCCCGGGGGGCCCCCAAGGCCGGCGGCTGAGACAGCAGCCATCGAAGTGTTTGTGTGTGTGGCTGCTAGATGAG